GGAGGGAGGGGAAAAATGAGGACCTAATGTCGGGGGTTTAAATGGAGAGAAAATGTTTTGAGAAACGATGTACAAATGTGCATTACACAATTGATGTGTGTATGAATTGTGATAAGAGTTGTATGAGCCCCTAATAAAATGTTTTAAACAACAAAAATTTACACAAAAAGCAATGAGTATAGGGAAGAAAATGTTCTAAAATCAATTGTGGTAATGATTATACAATTCTTTGTATGATTGAACTATTGACTTTTATGATGTGTGAAGTGCCAATAAGACCGTTAAAATATGTGGTTAGTGACTGCTAAACTAATTTAAAATTTTCAAACTTACTCAGTAAAATATTTTGTCAAATATAACAGGACATTTCACTTTAACCACCAAAAATGTATTATTAGAATTAAGGTAAATCATGGCCATTAAAAGTAGCCTATCCCCAGCTCCCTTGCCCCAATCTAAGAATGAGTTTGTTTTTTAATCATCGTATTAGGGGCTCATACAACTCTTATCACAATCCATACATTCATCAGTTGTGTAAAGTACATTTGTACATTCATTGCCCTCAAACAATGAGTTCTTATGACATGGCCTTGATTGCTGCTGGCCCTCCTGAAGAGATCTCTGAAGATATGGATGCTGTCACTGGGTGTGAAGAAAACAGATGGTGCATGGCTACTGGAAAGAACAGTGTCTGGTTTAAAAGCTTGTTTTCAAACAAGCAACCATCTAAGTGAACATGTAAGAGGCTCCTCAGCCTGTGGGATCCAGATTGTAAATATACTCCAAATCTAAAGGAGTGAATGCTTTGAGCTTAAAATACGAACACCTCATTTGCAAAAGCTATGGATGACAGTGGAAGCCTAAAATCCATTCGCAAGGTGCACACATGGATTAATTCTCCAGTGAACTCCTCCACAGTTGAGGTGTGAATACACTTGTTACGAGAGCATATTTTAAATTATAGCAGGCATAGTTAGGTTAAAAAGTACTACCTGAGAGTAGCGACACCAGGATCCTAAGGGGAATGTGGGGGAGGAAGGCGGAACCCATCACAGTGATCTACCTATAACCCCCTCCCAGGGGCACAGAAAGCAGAAGGGAGACATTGGTCAGTGTTAAGACATGAAAAAATAATTTATAAATTGCCAAGGGTTCATGAGGGAGGGAGGGTAAAAATAAGCTGATACCAAGGGCTCAAACAGAAAATGTTTTGAAAATGACAAATGTGCTTGACACAACAGATGTGTGATGAGCTATGTGAGCCTCCAATCAAATTAACCAAAAAAGTATTACCATTTGATATCCCTTGTGATTTTTTTTCTTTTTAAGTGGAGAAATACACATGGATTACACCCCTTGAGAACCCCCTCTAACCATGGACCAGCCTGGCCTATATGCTGAAGGCATTTGAAAGTGGATTTTGCAGATGCAGTTAAGATTTAGCATCCTAACATTTGCTCTCCCTCATGATCCATTCAAACATTCGTTTTGTTTTTTTTTTCTAGTTTTGAATATTCTTTTCTATTGAGGTTTTTGTTTTACATGGTTGTTTTTTATTAAGTTTTCCAGGATATGAAATCCAGGATAGGTAAATCTAGAGAGACAATAACTGGATTAGCAGTTCCTTAGGGGTGTGCCAGGGGAGGCTGGGGGGAAATGGGGAGCTAGTAACAATGATTACAGGAACAAAGCAAATGTTCTAAAACTGACCACGGTGACTGTACAACTCTTCTTGATGTGATCAAACTATTGAATTGAATCTGTAAGTTATATGCCAATAAAAGTGCTGAGAACAAAAGTAAAAAGGAGCCTTGGTAGTGTAATGGGTTGCAGGCTGGGCTGCTAACTGCAAGGTCAGTTTAAAGCCACCCACCACTCCATTGGAGAAAGAGAGGTTTTCTGTTCCTGTGAAGATTTACAGCCTTGGAAACCCACAGGGGCAGTCCTACCCTGCCCTGTAGGCTCACTGAGTCAGAACTGACTCAATGGCAGTGAGTTTTTTAGTTATGCCTATTAAAATGCACACCATTTTGATTGCTTATCATTAAAAAAACAAAGAGTAAAATGCCCAATTTTATACCAGTTACATATTAGAATAGTTTGAGTGTGTTCGGTTAAATAAAGTATTGACTTAATTTTGTTTACCCTACTAGGAATTTTAATAGTACCCATAACTTTTGCATAATATTTCTGTCTGATAGCGTTGAAGAAATGGAAGAATACTTGCCTCGGGAAACTTAGATATTAAAAATGGCTAATAGTGACATAGTAAGCAAAACGTTTCTCTTTTGTTCTTAATTATTAAAAATTAGAAGGGCAAAGGATGTTTAGAAACAGCAAAAGAGAATTAGAAATGGTTATTACATGAAAATTTGGCTAACAGGCTTGAAAGAAGACAACTGAAACCCGTAATGGAAATCAGCTCCCTAGGAATAATTCTAAATTCTCAGGTGCTTTGAGATAAGTTTAAAATTTCCCAACCTTAAAATGTAAAACAAAGTCTGGGGTATTCACTCATACAGAAAGGAATGATACACTAGGAGGCTTGGCGGTGCAGTAAAGCTCTTGGCTGCTAACAGCTCAAATCCACTGACTGCTCCACAGGACTAAGATGTGCTTGTTTGCTTCCATAAAGTCCTCATGCCCTTGGAAGCCCTGTGAGGCAGTTCTACTCTTTCCATTGGAATATTGTGAAGAGACTGATTTGATGGTGTATATATCTTTTAAACGTACACACAGTAGGGCAATTAACATTTACTAAAAAAAAAAAAAAGATCCTTTTTTCCTGAGGATAAAAAATGAACCTTATACTCCCAAACCCATTTTTAATAGTGCAGTTAAATGCCATGAGATGCCCAAGAGATAGCTGAACTTTTTGTTTAGCAAACATTCAGTTAGAAAGTGCTTACGACATGCCTAGCATGGTATCAGCTATTTCACAAGCAAACACCACCTGGAGTGTAGAAATCCTTTCAATGGCTATTTTTGATGGAGTTAGCTGTTACATGAATAAAAAAATTTGAGGGAAAATGAAGTATGAAACAAAAACTGTCCATAAAAATGCCAAAATAATAGTATTTTTTTAAACTGTACTCATTAAAAAACCTTAGGGGGAGGGAAGCTTTGGAGATTTTACTTTTCCACTTTATGCTTCTCTTAACAGTATATATTATTTCCAAGAGTTTGCAGACATTTTACTAATTGGGAAAAAAGACACAATACTGCCAAGTGAATTTGATTCAGGGAGAAATACACAAATAATAGGACTTTATTCCTATCCATTTACCTTTTACACTATCAGGCTTTAGCACTCAAGCTAGCTTCTTGGTGCGCACACTCAGAGCCTTTGAAAACACATTATTAGTCTTTGAGTTCTTCAAGTGCTTGGAAAACGCTTCAGAATGTTGAGAAATATCCAGATAACCAGTATGTTTTCTCCTGGGCACAAACTTCAGAGCCTCTTCCCAACTACCCGTGTTTTTCAGACATAACAAAATACGCATCATTTGGTCTAATGTTAAATTTTTGGTGCCAGTTTCCCACTGTAAATACTTATCTAATGGAAGGCATTCTGTTGCCAGCTTTAGTCGTTTTGCATTGGCAAGTGATGTACCAGGCTGCATATTTTTATCGACAAAAGATCCAATTATGTAAATTTTGTCATGCTTAAAAGTAGTCATAACATTGGGAGAATCCGCAGTTAAGTAGATAATATTGCCTTTTGGAAACAAATCTACATAAGACTTATCTGTTGTTGTTAAAAGCAGTTTGTCCCATTTCTCTTTGTAACGTTTAACCAACTCTGTATGAGAATTACTGTCTGTTTTGAGATTGCAGAAGTACAGGTGGAAAGGATCAACATCTCTTCTGTTGCACCCTTCACTTTCCAGAAGCTGGGAGACGGAGTTCTGCAGCTCTTTTGGCTTCATGTGGCTGTCATAAGCCATGTCAAACACTAGGGGCTGTCCAAACTGCATGGCCTGTGCTCCCTTCCAGCCCACTGCGCTGCTCATGCTCCTGTCCCAAAGCCGCAGAAAGAGGAAGTTTCGCTGTGTACCTTCCTCAGGGGTCTCTAGGAGCTGGTCTTTTTTTGCTTCTTCCCTTGCTGCAGCTTTCATTTCCTTTTTTACTTGCTTAGCTTTTCTCAATTTTTCCTTAGTATATAAATATTTTAAATATTTCTTTTTTGATGTCTTAGAAGTATTTTCCATAATGACTCTGAGGTCTTCTTCACTGATGTGTTCTGGTACTTCTTTGCCAAGCAATCTCCACACCTCAATCAATTCTTTTGTGGCAGCTACAGGGTCTTCATCGGTGCTACTTGAAACCGTTGAAACACCTTGCACACTAGATTTCATTGTCGTTTTCCATGCATCCAATTGTAGCTCGTCCGGAGATGATGTATTCTCCTTATTAGGATAGGACACAGCCGGTGTTTTGTAAGACATGGATCTCTGCAGAATTATTGAGTGTAAGTCTCTTCTTTTCCTTTGAAGAGTAAATGGCATGAAAAACCTAGCAAAAGGTCTTCTTAAGAAGGTGAGACTAACACTCATTTTGAGAAGGACAGGCATCCGAGGAAATTTCTCTAAAAGAGATATGCAACAAAGAGTTAAAGAGCTAAAAAACAAAACACAAACTCAACTAACTTTGTAAATATAAATCTGAGATACCAAAGTACAATTGATTTCAGAAATACAAAGCAGGATCTCGGTACAACTATATTTCCCCTATATGCTCTGGCTTAGTACCCATCACCTCTCACTGAGCAAAAGGTTTAACTTTGTTTGATTTCTTATTTTAGACATGAAGTTCACTATTGCTTTAGGCAGAAAGAAATCTTGAATATCCAAGATCAACCTTACTATGTAACAAAGTTATAGATCACAGATGTGGCTGAGATCATGAGGCTACATTCTTTCCCATTCTATACTAAGCTCAGATGGAGGCTTAAACACAAGAGCCTTCACAAAAAGAAAGGCAGAAAGGCTAAAGGAGATAGTGACTGGTGAAAAGCCCCTATGGCCTGCTGTACCAAATGATGTTTATCAGTATGTAGCAATAACTCTTCTGGATCCAGTCCACTCATTATTTTACAGCAAATGTTACTGCCAAGCATGTCCAAAATGGGGAATAATATATACAAGGAGACTCCAAGAGTTGGTGGAAAAATTCCATTACTTTTTAATTTCACTTTTCCACAAACTTCAAAGTGTCCTTGTGTAACACACTTCTCTGCTTTAACCTTTTTTCTTTCTTTTTTTTTAGAGAGTGAGTCAGTGAATGAGAGTGAGT